CTTCTAAGGAGGGAATCCATGGGCTGCTTAGGGCCTAAGAAGTCAAATTAGGGTTTCCTGGTTCAAATCCCTAATAGCCTCACTATATAAGGAACCCCTAAGGCCCCAAAAACGTGAAGAAGTAATCCCTAAGGGATCTTAGTCGTTTTTGGTGCTCCTCCTCCCTCTCATAAGTCATTCTCTTGCTTGTGGTGTTTGTAAGCCATTAGAGGAGTGACATTTGTGACTCTAAGCTCCAAGACAAGAAGATTCAAGCCATTCTTGTAAAGGTAATCATCTAGAGCTGATCTTATATGATAATTTCGAAATATGTATGCTAGATCTAGGGTTTATAAGCTTTGGATGGTTATTGCATGTTCATTAGACAAACTAGATCCAAAAGTTTTAGGGTTTGCATGTACACCATAGGATTGATGTAGTGCTCAAAACCCATCAAAGGATGCCGCGAGTAACCTCAGCTACGATAAGCTCGCGCATCCTCTCATCAATCGGCTCTGAACCAGAGCCTAAACCCGATCCTGAACCTGATCCCTAACCTAAACCTCGTCGTGTAGCCATCACCATCCTTAACTGAAAATACAACATAGAAAATAATTGATAAGGAAGTTCGAAGGGATTCCTCCCCACCGGACTCCTTAGAGCTTCCAGGTCTGTCCTTGTCTCGGGTACAGGTTATGTGCTTTCAGTAGTACGGGACTAATACTACCTTCCACACCTACTTATACCTTCCTCAAGGCCATACATGACACCTATAATTCACCCAACCATAGATAAAACATGACATACAAAACACAGCACATACATATATCCTAGACACTTCTAGGCTTTCTCAATCCTCACAGAACCAGAAACCTCAATCAACACCGCAGGTTGCCTTGTGCATGCAAGTAATACATAAATAGAATCACATAGACTGTCAAATAAAGCTTCTACCCTAAGACCGAAACCAAACAAGGAACATGAAATGATGCATAATCCATCATTCTAGGATTATGCAATCCCAAACATATACAATTTTGAAAGCATACACTTAGCAAATAACAGAGTCAACATCGATTCCAAGAAATATATTCATAGCATGGTTAAATTTTGGGAAACACTTAACTCGGCCGATTTCGCGCATTGCACTCTCCCTTTTTACTTAAGAAAACTGTTTTCAGAAAAACTTGACTTTTGTTTCTTTTGAAAAGGTTTACCATTTCCTCAACTTGAGTTCTGACACACCCGGGAGTGTCAATAAGTTTGATACCAAAAATCCAATACATAATCATCATCATACAAAATCATCAGAGTGTCAATATCAGTGAATGCGGAAAATAGTGGAGAGTGAATATTATGCCATCAAGCCGATCCCTTCCCTTTGGAATCGGACGCACCTGAAATCACAATACAAACTGTAAGCCCAACCCTGGGGTTCATCCCAACCCCAAAAAAAAGTATGGGCCTCGCCTTGGGGTATATTTCAACCTAAGCATATCACAGTGGGCCCTGCCCTAGGGTATATTTCAACCCGTTATGTCATATTGGGCCCCGGCCTAGGGTATATTTCAACCCAATCACAACATGTAACATACAACAACTAGCATACTACATAAATGGATATTGGGTCAGCCTTGGTGCCTTAGACCTATGGTTATAGTGAGAAGACTCACCTCAGATTACTGATAAAAATACTGCCTCGCTATTGGTCCGAAAATCTCACACATAAGATACATAAGTTATCCTAGTTAGAATTAAATCACAAACTCAAGACATAGGCCCAAAACCCTAAGTCCAAACTCCTTCAATAAGGCCCAAAAGTCTTTCCTTCATTAATGGGCCTAACATCCAAGGTCCAAAAACAATAATGGGCCACATAGGCCCAAAAGGCCCAACGATGCCATCTATGGTCCAATAACAAGTTCAAAGTCCCAATACTCTAATAGATCCAGGCCCAAGGTTAATTAGGGTCCAAATGGCTCAAAAGTCCATCGGAAGCCCAAAACCCACTTGAAGCGTACGCCCAGCGTACATCTTCAGTACGCTTAGCGTACTAAGTTATTGGGCAGTACGCGCAACGTACAAACTAGTACGCTCAGCGTACAAGCTACTTTGCATAAAAAAAGCCATTAAGTACTTAATATATGAAGATTCTTCGTCCAATTCCAGATCTTAGTCATTTTAAAGGTCCTAGGGCATAAAGTTGACAACTTTATGCCTTTGCATGCCATATAGGAACCCAACTGTAACATCCGGCCTTCCAGGTATATTGTTTATTTATTTATTTTTGAGGGCTATTGACCAACTTGACGAGTTGGTGCTACAACTCGTCGAGTAGAGACGCGTTGTGCCACGTGGGATTAATAATCTACTCGACGAGTCAGAGAGACGACTCGCCGAGTAGACGCTGTGAAGAGAAACCCTAAATCCTCGGGTTTGGGGCCTATATAAGGACACTTATAGCCTCATTTGCGGCTCACCAGCTGCTTAACCTTACTGTGTGAAACCCTAAACGAGTGTAGTGAGCTAAGAGAGTCTCAAAGCTAACCTTGAAGGATTTTAGTGCATTTTTTAGGAGGAAGAGGAGTTTGTTCAGCAAGAAACAAGAAGGAGTTGTTGGGGTTCAGGCCATTTCGTCCAGAGCTTCAAGAGGAAGGTAAAAAGCTTGAATCTTTACCCTTTATTTGGTTAGATCTCATGAGTTGGAGAAATTAGGGTTTTCATCACATTTTATTTGGGACTTCGAGGATACTAAGTTATCAAGAGGTTTAAACCTCAGATCTGGACCTTGTGAGGTCCCTAGAACCCACAGGTCCCAACTTTATTCATCCATATGAGGAGTATGGTGTTTAACACCTTGTAAGAACATGTATTGGTAGATTGGAGCAAAACCATCATGCATGAGCGTAAAGATCGAAGCTTTACGTGACAAACGAGCCTTAGGATGGTAGATCTAGTGTTTAGAGTGATAGATCTGCCTTAAAACGTCTGAATGAGAAATCAGATCGAAGAGACTCGCCGAGTCCATGTCCTGACTCGACGAGTCAGTTAGGGTTTGTCCCGATGAGCTTGATCATGCGGAAGCTCGACGAGTTGGGGGTCAACTCGACGAGCTCAGTTGGACCTTTCATGAGACTTCTGAGGAAAACAGGTGGACTCGACGAGTCACATAGATGCTCTCGGCGAGTCAGGTCAAACTTCAACTGTTGACTCGAGTTGACTTCTGTTGACTTTAGGGTTTGGTCAATATGAATAATGGAGACCATGGAGGGGTAAAATGGTCTTTTAGCCATTCTAAGAGTTAGAGATAAAGAGAAAACAACCTTTGGTATATTTGAGTATAAGTAGAGTATTAATTAGAGATGATTATCTTATGTGTTAGGCGGAGGCTAGTTCGAGATTTCTGAGTACGAGACTTTTACTTGCTAGCTTACGAGGTGAGTCTTCTCACTATACTTACCATGAGTGGTACCTTTGTGTGATTGAGATGTTTATTGTGCTTAACTATGTATCTTAATATTCTGCATCATGTCTTGTGATTTATGCTGAGTATTGTTATTATGAGTTTATTGAGTTGGGACCAGAGGGTCCCACTGAGACACATTGACCGGAGGGTCTTATTGAGTTATAGCTTAGAGTGGCTAATGAGTTGTGTGTGGTATTTTGGGAAACTCACTAAGCTTCGTGCTTACCGTGTTATGTGTTATGTGTTTCAGGTACTTCTCAGGATCACAGGAAGGCGCCGACTTGATTGTACACACACCTGTGTCGGAGATATGTTTTTTGAGGATCCTGGATTTGTGTTATAAACAGTTTTTGAGACATGTGTTTTGATAACTTGATGTTTGTGGAAATTGTGATTTTGAAATGAGATATTTGGGTTTTTAAATGAAAACTTTTTGTTTGAAAATTTACGGTGTTACACCAACACCTCACTTTATCCATTAAGACTCCCTTTAAGATCTTAAACTCATGCATGGAGCCATATCAACTATCAAGTTAGCATTTTTATCCTTCAAACATGCCAAAGAAACTCAGATCTAACATTCCTAATCTCTGGAGTTGCTCAAACTCACAAGAGAGAATTCATGGACCAAAAGTGGACTTATTACTAAACCCAAACTCAAACAAGCAAAGGGATTAGCAAGATATGAACTTTTTACCTCCAAAAGCTCTCCAAGATGATCTAGATGCAAGATCTACAAGCTCTCCCACGTCCAAGACTTGTTCACCACTTCCTTCTCATTGCTAACACACCAAAAAGAGGTTACTTTAGGCACCTTCAAGCTCAATAATCATTCTCAATGGTAACTAGGGATTTAGGGACGTTTAAAGGCAATGAAGGCTGGTAAGGAAGAGAGTTGAAGGTCCTAAATGAGCTTAAATAGGGTTCAAATCCGAGAATTTGGGTTTTAGCCTTTGGCCTCGTATGCCCCCCCCCCCCCCCCCCCCCCCCCCCCCCCCCGCACATGCTTGTACACCCCGCATATGAGCCTCAGCTACCCGATGCATCCACTTGTGTACGCTAAGCGTACATACATGTACGCCCAACATACGGAGGGTCATGTTTTGCAACTTTAAAATTCATCAAGGGCTTAAAATAAAATACCTGGATTTTGGATGTTAGATCATTGATTAAATTCTCCACTGTAAATACTCTAAATAAATATATAGAAACATCAAGTCTCTCATGTGCACTCGTGCATTTAGCATTTATTGGAGATGTCATTATTGCTATGGAAGATTTAAAGCAAGCGAATTAAAAAGTATCAACTAAAAAACAAAAGTTGCCTTTGGAAAACTTCTTAATAAGAATGTTACCTTTACAATACATTTTTTTTTTCAAAAAACAACCAATCAAGAAAAACGTCATTGATAAATAGTTGTATTATATTTTTGTTGTCTGTAAGACTATTATATCTGCTATACATAGAAAATCAGTAAGTATAATACCACGAAAACAAAATAACATGATACAACAGTAAACAGTTGCATGATACTCTATGTAACTGCAAGCGTTTATCCCTAAAACCGAGAGCATGATCATTTTTTGCTTATTAACTTAAATAAAACCTATTACATAGATCACTTTAAATGGTTAAGTTTAACCATCGTACCAAATTTCAAAATAAAAAGACATGAATAACGAGTAGTAAATTTGTATTCAATTATGAATAAAGTTGAATCTTTGATGTTGAAACTGACTAGTGGATGAATAAGTATTGAAAAATTGTCCTCGACCAATCAATCTTTCATCATCGTCTTCATGAAATCCATCCATCTAAAAATTTGACATGTAAAATACAACTATTACGATTTATAACCATATCATGAAGAAAAGCAAATCTTTAACTATAAATGAAGTTAATATTAGTTAAATAAACCACTATTAGTCCCATTAATAGGTCGGTATCTCCATGACTATAAACTTTTTGACTATTTATATCTGTTCTTTGATTTTATTAAAGTTAAAAGAGAAAAAGTAAAAATATATATATATTACCCAAAATTCCTCTTCATCTCCATATCGATGAAAAATTGCAGTCCTTTGAATCTCTCCAGGCTCGTCATTGCGTGCAAATCTACCACGTATTCGTGGTCGGTTGTCGGCAAGTGTCTTCCGGCATGCATACTATTTTCAATATAAGCCAATAAGCATTTTATTTTCTTCGTCTGAACAAAAATAATATTCTATATATAAATGTTTGATTATTAATGAAATAACTAAACTATCCCTTGTATACACAATTCACCTTAATTGTCTTGTTGAAATTCCGTTGTGTCCTCTTTGCTCTATACCTCAAGATCTTCTCTTTCCTTTCCTCTGCATTGTAACGCCCGACCTTAAAATTTGCTTCCTCCATGAATGAACTTTCTGTGGCCAATGGACTAGAAGACAGCCTTTGACTTGTTTGCTTGATCTTTGGACTCTAAAATGAAGGGTAAGAATGTCAAAAACATATTTAATAACATAAGTACATAAGAAAACATGTCACTCTCTTTATTAGCTCTAGAAATCTATACTTTTACAAGGTCGAACATTATTGGCACCAAATAAGTTGGCTTCAAATTAATGAGCTTCAAAAAACATAAAATTTAAGTTGGTATTATTCAACGTCAATTATTTGACATTTTTTTATCATATAGTGGTTTAGAATCTCATGCATATTAGAGTGTTTATCTTTGATAGACGAGCCTATAACATAGTAAGAATATACGTGATAAGCGTCACACAATTTAATATTCAATGATGTATTTATATTATATCCTTGTTCACAAATTGCATGTCATATAAGAATTCTTTTAGTGAGTCACCATTTGATAATTACGTAAATTATTAAAATTCCCTTCGATAGAAAGATACGTATGAGAATCTTGTGACCTAAAAGGAATAAAGTTTAAAGTGTAGTTTTAAAGGAACATCTCAAAATTGGAGAAGAATTTCGAAGTAAATTAATGAATAGATGACTAACTTGTAAATCACCAGTACTGCAAACCCTTCTCATATGGGAATATGAGAAGCTTTGATCAGGTGAGGTAAGGGTTTGGGCTTGAAGATTTTGGGATTCAATCAAGCCGTTAATTTTTGGTTCATAAAGAACACCATTTGGTTTCTCTTGTTGGAAAGAATTGCTGCTATAACTCCTCTGCATCATCTTCAATGCATGGTCAGACCCACCGTAGTAGTAATTATCATACAAGGGTAGTTGACTTTCTTCTGTTTTGACATCCAAATGGCAAGAGTCAAGAGCCTCGTTTGAAGAAGTTACAGAAATACCCATTTGGTAAAGAGAGAGGTTTTGAAGCTGGTGGCTTGGTGGGGAGGAAGAGAAGATGGCGGGGGCAATTTGGTCAATTTCCTCGAATGGGGTGTCAAGATTTTCTTGGGTGGTCAAAGGTGGTGGTGATGGTGGTGATGATGGTAGTAAAGGGGTATAGTTGTAATTGTGTTCTTGGAAAGCTTGGAGGATGTCAATGGTTGATGAATCAGTGAATGGTGAAAACGGATCATTGAAGATACATCCATCAAATTCATAGATTTCAGAAGACATTGACATTGAAGAACTCTTGATTGTGACCGAAAGAAACCTTTTAATTGTTTCTACTTTTTCGAGAATGATGAATAAAATGATACCTGAACCGATAACCGTCACTTTAGAACACTATTCCACAGTCTGTCTGCCCCAAAAGTTCTTTCTCTATGAAAGATGAGAAGAGGTCGATTTAAAAACTCAGCCTCTTGTCAACATGAAAATAATTAGAGACTAGTGCACGTCCACTATAAATATAGTGTGTTTTTCTAAACAACACCCTTCATGTTTTTGTGTATTAACAAAGTCTACCCTCATTTAAACAATTGACTTTTTATATTTCATTGTCATACAGTAAAGGGTACCCCCACTATGATTGAATTGCTCAAAAAATAAGTATTACTCAACTTTTTTTAGTTTTAGTGAAAAGTTGATTTTTAACTTTGAATGTGACATAAATGAAATTTTGATATCATATTTTCAAAAATTATATTACACTATAATTTTGTTTGAACGCAAGCAAGGGCGGTTTTAGTAAGTGTTCCGGTGTGTCATTCGCAACACCTACCTTTTATGTCCGCAGTGGAAAAAATTTCAATTTTTTTTTTTACCTATTTTTCATGTATTGACAACACCTATTTCATCCCGGCAACACCCTGCATCTGCCCCTGAACGTAAGCAATATTACAAAAACAAAACAATTTATCACATAGAAACAAACTTTTTAAAACATACGGTTTGACCATTTCACATTTTAGTTAAGTCATGAATTTTTTCTCAGTGTTATCAACTACCCAAAATTGAAATCGGATTAATGTAATAGTGTAATACCATTTAATGTTAGAATTAAGGATTGTAATTTGGATATTTTCTTGGATCGTGTATAAACAGTTTTCGAAAATTTTAATTTGACCCAAAGACTGGGGTTACACAAATTCAGATCGTGGGATAATCCAAGAAAACGATTATGATTACAGGCTTAATCATAATCTCAAACACATAAGACCTTGTGCTATTGTGTTCCGGAGAGACAAATATGCAGAGAGAAGTAGTTTTCTGTGTTTCATCCTTTTGTAATGTTCAAGACTTCTTTTGTTATGTAGAAGACAACAGTTATGTAGGGAAACAACTTCCTCTTTAATGGAGGCAAATCTTGGGCCATTTGACACAAAAAAATTCATTTGACACGTAGCAAAACAATACACTTATGGACACCAATGTTCGGATAAAATGTCCATCATCAATATCCACACTAGAGGTAGTTAGCCTCACATGCAAGTGAGACATATCTAGAATATCATACATTACCACAAAGACATAATGGGGTATTCGGTTTGCATAATTGGTCACACAGGTCATCATCACATCTTAAGTGAATGCAAAACTTCATGAAGAATCAAGTGCAAAATATAGTTCTTCGCATTTATAAGAAAACTCATTTCAAAAATCTTGTGAATGCACACCATCATACTTATAATATTCACATAAAATAGATAGGATCTCATAAAAGGGAGTAAAACTTATCAAAGAATAAAAAATAAGATATGGATATATATTCTTCCTAATAACTAACATTAATTAGTTGTAACACTTTAACTTCACTTCGCAAGTGATTTGGACACTTACTAGTCTCATAAAATTAGCAATATTTTAAGTAATCGTTGAATAGTTTCATTCAACCCATCCTAAAAAATATTTCCAACTTTTATCATAATACTTTATATAATGCATAATGTTACTCAACCGAGTAGATTTTACAAAGGAAATCCACCCGGCTAAGTGGACCATCAAGTCATCGTCTTAAGAGCGCAATTATTTTTCCAAGTTGTCTAAACTTATCTAAAATCGTTTAAATCCCTTACAAATAGCTTCTAATGATCCTGGATGTATGTAAACATTCTATTACATATCATAAAGCTCTTAAATACATTATTAACACTATGCTCTTTGATTTTAATGTGATTATTTAGTGATTTATTGATTTATTGGTCCAAAAGCTTGATTATAATCACTAGAAGTCACATAAACTCTAAATTGAGACATAAGATTCAACTGACAATAAATTACTACCGATTGTGATTCAAATTTACTTTCTAAGGTTGGTTTATGACTAGACTTGGAGTTCCAATAAATCTAGAACTAGTTTAAGTCATGAACAAAGTTTAAAACTCCATTGAAGCTTCATGAAAATTTTAAAACCTCAATTAGATCAATTAATGATAATATCCATAAATATTAGATTCATTAGCTCAATATGAGTTTTCTAAAATCTATTTCAAGCTAAATAATGTATCAAATTCATCTAAGGAATCTCACATTTGAGATTTACCACTTTCTAGAGTTTAGAGCTTCCAATCATGAGTTCATTCCAAATCTAGGTTTCAAAAGAAGAAGTAAAGTTATAATTGATTTTTGAGTAAATTACACGAATGGTCCCTATGGTTTGGGTTAAATTGAGTGCTTGGTCCCTAACTTATTTTTTTAACTCGTAAGGTCCTTATTATTTGTTTTTGTTACGCATTTAATCCCTACTATTTGTTTTTGTTACCCGCTTGGTCATCGTCTTACCTAAAAAGACTATTATTTAAATAGAGAAAAATGATGGGGTATGTAAGGTAAGGTGAGGGGGTGAGGTTGAGGGTGTGTTTATTTAAATAAACTAAAAAAATCAAGGGAAAAATAGTTTTTTTAGGTAAGACAGGACCAAGCGCGTAACAAAAACAAACAGTAACGACCTTCCGAGTTAAAAAATAAAGTTAGGGACCAAACGCGCAAATTACCCTGAACCATAGGGACCATTCGAGTAATTTACTCTTGAATTTTAAACACCAAACCGCTTGTAGCCAAGCGATATCAAGCTTTGCCCTCCTTCCTTGAGGTTGGGGTCAAAACTCGTCGGGGACAAGTGTAGAATGTGTAATAGTTTAAGATTATATTAGATATTTTCGTTCTAAAAAAATTGATTTCTAAACCAAGATTCATAATCTACACCTCCTTGTTTAATACAAATCTTGTAATGTTCCATGGAAGTATAGATGAGAATTTAGGGGAGATTGGGAGATTTAGTTACCAATTTCCATGGAAGTTAAGATAAGATATTAAGTGTATTAGAAGACTTAGTTACCGATTACCAAGTTAGACAAGGATTTAAGCTTCCAAACTCTCAATTACACTTCCAATGAGTTCCAAATCTATTGATGTCTTCACAATCGCCACACTTCCAAAAAATCTCTCAAAATCATTCAAAAGGAAGAGAATAGAGAAAGGAGGATTTCTAAAGTTTGACCATTTGTCACATTTATACCCACTATTTCTCATGTTTCTCATTAATTATCTACAAAATGTTTCTCATTCTTGATTGAGTTCCGTATTAACTAGGTTAACTATAACTAATAATTTTACTAACTAATAAAGTCTCACACGGTTGGTGTGACATCCTCATTTTCACGGCCAGAAAAGACCGTTTTTGTTTATGCTTTTAAAATAAAATTAGAGTAATCTTTCAAAAGGTGTTGCGGAATTTGTCCCCAAAACAAAATATGATAAAAATTTATCAAAGCATATCTTAAAGAAATGTATTTTTCATTTCATTACAAAACTCGGGATGTCCACATCGATATACACCAAAAGCATAAACAATACAATATAGGCTTTACAACAGTTATTTACATCTATTGGTCTATAATCCATAATCCCTCGTCATTGTCCAACTATGCTCTTGTTCCACTACCTATAATATAGAAAACTGAGTGGCTCAGGCTTGGGATCCTGGTGAGCATATAGGGTTTTCAACCCACAATAAATAAATTTATTAATTTCATCAATCAGCAATAAATTTATTAATTTCATCAACCAACAATAACCCTGATTACCCGTTCCCGTTATCCTCACTTTACGTTCCTAAACACCTATCATAAGGGACATAGCCTAAGGATCATCATCGGGGTAACAACACTGCTTAAGGGATACTTCTGCAGTTTCTTAAGGTTCCATCCTAAGAATCCTCACAGCGACACGATCTATTGATAGGTTTTAGGTAAAACAAATAAACCAAGAAACAATTCCTAAGTTCACATGCAACCTACTTTGGATCTATGTTTTAACTATTGAACATACAACTTTGAATTGCAAAACAAGAACCCTAGAGGAGAGAGGCTAATTTCGAAATTAACAAACTAGGGTTTAGGAGTTACATACCTTTCAATTGTTATAGCAAACAATTGATAATCCTCTTGATCTTGATCTTGATCTTCTTGGAAGCTTAGCACCACAAATGCAATGCCTCTAATGGAATCACACCCAAGAACTAGCAAGAAGGAAACTTGGAGGAGAGAGGGTAGAGGGAGTATGCAATTTCGGCCCTAGGGTTTCTTCAAAGAAGGAGTGACCAAATTTAGGAGCTGGGAGGCTCCTTATATAGCTGACGGATCTAGGGTTTAGGGAAAACCCTAATACTCTTTGCTTGGGGTCTAAGTAATCCAAGGCCTTATCCAAGCCCCCTTGGACGAAATCCTTAGGGTTTCCCCTATAGATTTCGTCCACCTCCTTCCAAGGAGGTTCTGGAGCCTTCCACTCAACTATTAGATAATTGCAAACTAGTCCCTGCACTTTATAATTAATACTTTTAACCCCAAAATTAATTCTGATTAATTTCTGGCTAACTATTAATTAAACATAATGATTTCTAATTAATATATTAATCTTTTAACATATTAATAAATCATTTATATTAATTTATTAATCTTATAAATTAATATCTCTCCTTTCATAATTTCCTTGTCCAGTTGCTAGGTTTGAGGGCAACCCAAAAGGACTGTGCTGCTATCAATTCAAGTACATACCAATTATAGTTATGGGCTTAGACACCTAATCCAACAGTCTCCCACTTGGATAAGTCTGTAACTATAATTGCTAGTATGCCTTCTAAATTTGACCAGCAAATTGTAGCTTCCAAAAGCTGCTGCCGAACTCTGACCCAGTCAGTTAGGTATCCTAAGATAAGTGATCATATAATCCTTCGTTCTGCTAGATATCCCTAGACATAAGACATGGAATGAAATCAATCTCTTTGTCCAGAATCTATGTTTCCCGATTTCTGATTTGTGATGATGTAGGACTTCTAATTGAACACATCAATTTAATCCTGGGTGGGCCCAGCACATAAGTCAACACCAAATCATCGAGGGGCCCACATATATCGCTTTTCCGGTT